CTCGCCCTCCGCCCGCGGAGCCGCACCGCCCGAGCCGCCGAGCCGCGCGCCCGCCCGCCGCCTGGGCCCCGAGCCCACCGCGCCTCCCGCCCCGCCGCCTGGGCTCGTCCCGCCGCCCTCGGAGGACGGCCGGCCATGGACGCCTGCAAGTTGGAGCCGAGCGGGAGGGTGTGAGCGCGCCGGGGGCCGGGAGCCCGCGCCGCGCAGCGGGGCAGCCGGGCGCGCCGGGGGTGGGTCCCTCTCCCCAGCCCGGCTCTGCGTGGAAGAAGAGGGCGGGGACCGGCGCGGGGAGGAGAGCGGAGGAGGAGAAGGGGGCATGACTCGTGCAACTTGCGGCGGGCATCCACCGAGCCTCTGAGCCGCCGGCGGCCCGGGGCCGGGATTGCGGCCGCGCCGATCGCACCCAGCCCACCCCGCCCCGGCCGACGGCTGCGGCTGACCTGGATCCTCGGAGCGCCCGCCGGCCGGCAGCGATCGGCCTTCGTCTTCCGGGCTGGTTTCTGGAGAGCGGGGAGCGCTCTCCTCGCGGCCCCTCTCGCCGGACCCCCGGACCCCGATGGCTCGGATGGGGCTTGCGGGCGCCGCTGGACGCTGGTGGGGACTCGCTCTCGGCTTGACCGCATTCTTCCTCCCAGGTAAGCGCGTTCCGCCTCTGCCTTTTTTACACCCCCCCCCCCATTCCAATGCCTTCCCGGGGCTGGGAGCTGGATGGCGGGCACGTCTGGGTTATAGGCAGCGAAAGGAGCCAGAAAAGTTGGGTCACGGCTTAGGTAAGGGGGGTGCGGGTGGCACGGCGGAGAGAGAGGATGAGAAGCCCAACAGCCTGCCCTGCAGGGAAGCGGTCGGATGCACGTCTCTGTGTAGCAAGAAAGCACTTTATTCCGCTCAGTTTTTCACAAAAATAATAATATGTAATAGCGTTCTATTTATTTAGTAACCAGCTCTCAGGTCGGGAAGCAGTTTGGAAACACTGTATGTTACATAAATGCAAAATAATCACCGTAATCTCCGTCTCAGGGTATGAGACAACAGCCCCGGGGGGAGGGCGTCAGTCTCTCGGAGGCGGTGGGCTGTGGGTCTGGAGGATGGCAGGGGGGCTTCGTCTCTGTCCCCGGCCCCTTTGCCAGACGGCTCCGCGCGCTCGCGCCTCCTCCCGCCCCACGCAGCCCCACGCGGGCGCCGAGAGCCGGCTCCTGCGTCAGAGGCAGCTTCTCGCTCACCTGCGGTCCCTCTCCCGGTGGGTGAGGCCCGGGCCGCGCGGGCTCGCAACCTCCCGGCCTTGCGCGGGCTGGACTTAACCTCGGAACTCCACTCCCAGTTTGCACCACCCCCCCAGCCCAGGAAGCGCCGCGGGCTTGGTGCCAGCCAGGTGGCTGCATGACCCACTTTCCCGAGATGCCCCCTCGTGTCCTTCCCCGAGGTGCCGGCGGCCGAGGGGTTAACCCGACGCCCTACCCTGGGGTGGCCCGCGGTGGCCCATCTGACTGGTGCGGTTGGGGCGGAGGCTGGGACCGGCCGGCGGCGTATTGTGCTGGGGAATGAACTGGAAAATGCGTTTAGGAGGCAAATCCGACCGAGTCCCCTCGCCTGGATTTAACCCTTTGTGTCCCTGGGGAAGCTACCCAGCTCCCACAGTGGCTGGTGACACCAGCGGGGGTCGGGGTGGGGGTGGGGGTTCCTCCACCCCTCTGGGAAGAAACCTGAGACGAGCTCCCGCTCCCGCCTGGGCTAGATGGGGTTTTGGCGGGGGAAGGGAGGGGGCTTGGCTGGAGCACGTGGTCTGGGCTTAGGGTGGCAGAATAAGGGGTCGGAGTACAGAGAGACCAGCTCCGATGGGGTGAGAATACCGGATCGCTGGCAGCGGCCCGTTGGAGATGCCCGCGATGCCGCAGACTTTTGGGCTGGTGTGTTACCCAGGGGCCAACCCGGCTGCCGAGTTGCAGGCCGGCGTGCACCCCTGGGAGGCAGGAACCTGGCCTCATTCAGTTCTGTACCCTTTCTGCCACCAGCCTACTGCCAGGGCTCCACAGATCTCGCTGAGTGGCCGATGGCATCGAAAGCACTTCGCAGAAGCCAGCACAACGGTGCCCCCGCCCCTACAGCCTGTGGGGGTGCTGCCCTGCTAGGTGTGGGGGGGGAGGGGGCACTGCCCATTTCCGGGGGCCTGACTAGTCCCGTCCCTGGCAGGGTGGTCATGGGGAGTGAGAGGTCTTCCTCTCACACCGGACCTCCTGGGAATCCAGCTGGAGCTCAGGCCCTACCTAAGACTCCTCTGACCACTGGGGTTTGGGCTTCTGGGAACTCTTAACTGCATAGTGTCCACACCAGGATTCTAGGGAAAGGAGAGCTTTGGGAGAGCTCTAGTTGGTCTGGCACACCAGGGGTTAACCTAATTCTGGTCGGACAAAGAGTGGGAAGGTTTGGGGGAAAAGAATGAACTCACCCCCATCCTCCCCTCCTTTTGTTGTTCTCTTTCCCCAGCTTTGTGATACACAGTGGTTAATTATTTCTTGGGGGGGGGGTGCCTGCTGGAAGCCTGCCCACTCAAGGAGTGGGGCCAGGGAGATGTCACTCCCACCTAACTCAAGTGTAGACACTACCCCCACCAAAAATCCAGATTGAGGGGTAGGATGCAGACCTAGAACCCCGGCTCAGACAGGCATTTCATAAGCACTCCTCAATTGACTGTCATTGTCATGGCTGGCCGGCATCAGGGGCAGCCAGAATTCCCTGACCGGCCAAGCTCCTGTACCCTGAGCAGTGCCCCTGGTCCCCTGCAAAGGGAGGCAGGGGGTGTGGTGGTGCCCATCTGACACTTGAATGGAGGCTGGTAGGCTCAGAAGTTGCCTGCCCACACCCCACTTTCTACCCGCCCCAGCTCCCTCCTGAGTGCTCACTGCCGCTCCTCTCTGGGGACTTGCCAGCCTGATGCTCTTTTCTGGGTTCTCCTGGGCTGTGTCAGGGAGCACCGACACAGGACCTCTCTGGGGGAAAGCAGGTGGGGGCAGCCCCCAGTGTGTATGATGACCCCCTGACTAAAAAACAAACAAACAAAAAAACCCCACAACATTCCCAATCTGGTTATTGACGTGTAAACACAGAAGTATGTTTTTACAACACAGACTTTACCAGGCTGGGTGGTGAAGCCCCACGAGCTTCTGAGATAACAGTTCCTACAGGTCAGCTCCGAGGAGAGGGCCAGTAGGGCCTGGGGACTGCACCCTAAAGAGGGTCCGGAGGAGCCCTGGGGGGAGACAGAGAACCTACCTTTGAAGCAGGTGCGGAGAGCTGGTGTCCCACCTATACCACACCCTCCCTAATTGGCTTCCCCAAACCTTTTGTCTGGAGAGAGCACACACACCCCAGGTGTCATGCACACCCTCGGAAGACCTGTCGGGCCGCCACCGCGCACCCCTTCTCTGCAGTCTGTACAGAGCTCCCAGAAGGTGGTTTCCTGCGAAACTCAGGGTGTCAGAGCAGCTGGGCCCTTTCCCTCTCTCCCCATTTCTCACAGACAGCGATGTGCTCAGGCTTGCTGGGCAGGACATTATGGCAAAACCAATTCTGCTGGCCTGGGGATTACAGCGTGTGTGAACAGCAGTCTCGTGCCCGTTTTGGAGGCTGTGCTATGGAGAGTGTCTCGGAATCAGATTCAGGGCCTAATAGCCAAAGCTGGAGGGGAGAAGAAGATATTGCAGAGTCTGGGCCCAGCAGCCCTGGCAGAGCAGCTGAGAAGGCATCTCTGAGCCTGAATATCTGTGGCTCGGGGGCAGGGGGGCCCCTTGTGGTCCCACGCTGGCTGAAAGCATGGTATTAGTTCCCTCCTCTGCCACCCAGCTTTGCACAGTGAATCCACCTCGGTGGCCACTTCCTGACCCAGGACCCAGCTGAATGCTGCCAGGATAGTGGCACCAGCCAACAGGACCCTAGTGCTGACAGCTGAGCCAGTGGGCGGGCATGAGGGGGTGGGGTTTCGGGCAGAGGGTCTGCCCCAGCTGCCGTGTCTAGATACTGCCATTGTTTAGCATTGACTAATGTTCATTGTTCGGCACAAACAGAAAACACCCAAGGGAGGTGTGAATATACCTTGGATTTTCCTGATCTTACCTTTCCTGATTAACCTGGTAACTTGAATGGCTCCTACCTGGGGGAGAGACAGAGAGGGGGCCTGTGTATTCACCTGCTTTACTGTTGTTGTGTTGTCCATTTGGTTGTTTTTGTTTTTTGTTTTTTTTTTAACTTTGCATGTTGGCCAGGGTGCCAGGCTGGGATGGACACTAGCCAGCTATGGGACTTAGGCTGTAACCGTTCTGACAGTCTGCATATTGTCTCGCCATCAGTGTCGAGTGGGTACTCGCACACACGCGTGTGCAAGGCTTTGTGTGCTTGTGTTGGTTATCTACAATGCCTTGTGCCCCTGCAGAGCCATGGGCATGAGGGCAAGGAGGTGTTGTTCACTGGTATGTGTGGGTCACCGCAGGCCTGGGGCCATCAATAGATAGCAGGTGGATATTCACATGTAACTGATTTCTTAAGTCTTTCCAACTAGGATTTTGTGAGTAGCTCTGAGCCTTGATAATGCTTGTGTTGATGTCAGAGTGTCCGGGAGGTGGTTTTGGGAAGAGACCTAGGATTTGCCCTCAGCCAGCTCCTTCCAAGATGGGCTGTCGGGTCCTTTGGGGGGGTGGGCAGCCTCTACACCGGTTGCTATTCCTGTTCTGTCCTTGGCTTTAGACTGGACCTCCGCATGCTCACAGGGAGGTGCTCAGCTGGAGAGACTTTACTCTCTTGTCTCGCTGGCAAACAGCATCTGGAACCTGCTGCTCACTGGGGCCTGGCTTGCCCCACAGCTTCTTGAGATCCCTGCAAGGCTGGGAGGGGCCCTGAGAGATAGGTTTTCAGCTACTGATTTGGCATCTTTGCTTCCTGTATGAATACTTGGGGAGCAAGGGGATCATGGGGTGGGGGAAGGTGGCATACTCTGAGCATTTAAAAAGGGGCACCAGTGTGGGTTTTGGTCCTCCATAAATAGCCCTGCAGAACCATATGTGTGCCCGGGTCGGCAACATACATGTGCCTGGAGACACCTGGCTTGTGCAGCAGAACTTGGGAGCCCCCTTGGTGGAAGGGGAAGAGGGCTCATCCTGGGAGCCCAGGACCCTGTGCCCCAGGCTGGCGGGCAGTTGCTTCTCCCCTGTGATGCCCGCCCCTCTCCATAGAGACCAGGTCTGCGAAGCCAACAGCAGATGTGCTGGCTGGGCCAGGAGGTAACTTAAGATCTGAGCAGGGATCACCTTGCGGAGGGAATGCCCTGAGTTGGAGATAACACCCTTTAGTCCAGTTAACCCTTGAAGCTCTGGATTCTATGTGCTGATTTGGGAGATGGGGAAAGAGAAAACATAGATGGAAAGAAGACACATCAAGCCTAACATCTGAACCCTGACCCATTCCACAAGGAGAGGTGAACTTGGTACAACAGGAGAGACCCAATAAGGACACAAAGTCTTCCTGACGGCAGGCTGTAGGCTCTTCAGGGCAATGGATAATCCCAAGGTTTATCCTTGGATGGCGAAGGGGGGCAGTGATATGTATTCTCAGGAGCTCATGGGATCTGTGCCTCTCTAGAGCACGGCCC